TTCTTTAAGTGTGTGCCACACCCAACGCTGTTATCATGACCTGCTGTTCCGCACTGTTCCGGCAATCTGAGCTCTTATCGCGCACTGACGTCTTTCACGGGTATAAAATGACAGTCGATGTCAGGGATAATCAGCCAAGATGATTGCTAAGCTCCTTCTTGCCGCCTCCCTCTGTACGTTCTTTAAGCTATAAACATTGTTTACTACCATTACTATATTAATATGAACTTAATGAATAACTTCCTACAACTTTACAGTGTACGCTACTTACGCTGCCGACACATGCATTCACTGCATCTGTCTCCACGAGTCCGGATGCAAAGCGATTGGCTGTGAAATGGACGTCGGATCTCTGTCCTGCGGTTATTACCAGGTTAGCCTGAAGGGACTGCTAACGGTTCTGCTCTGGAATTTCTAAGTCAAACCAAATACTTTTAGATTAAACTGCCCTACTACGAGGATTGCGGCACGCCTGGCCGCAAGAGCGGTGAAGACCTCACGACCGCATGGAAGAGATGCGCCGACGACTACACCTGCTCCACTCAATGCGTCAACGTAAGTTTAGCTCAAAGGCCCAACCGACGTATGAACCCATTATGGGCGAGTCAGGCCTATCGTTGTGATTTCTTCATTGGCCTTTCCAAAAAGGAGGGTACAAGACACGATGATAGGCCCCTTTGTGGCCATACGAAGAGCTTGGACTGTGCATTTAACGCAACGCCAAACAGAAGATATCTGCTTGTTCCAGGCGTACGTCAACCGCTACAAGGGTGGATGCTCATCAACTGGCGAGGGAACTTGCCAAGTGATGGCTCGTCTTCACAACGGAGGACCATCAGGATGCAAGATTTCTGGCACTGAACAGTACTGGAATGCTATCAAGAAATGCTGCTCATGCACATAAGAAAATGGACTTGAAGTGAGGGCACATAACATCTGCTCCTTTCGCTGTAGATAGTCGACAATAAAATATTTTTAAGCAAAGTTTGATTTTCTGATGGTGAGGTGCCCCTTTAGTTTTGCTACTATGCATCCGCCTAAAACGTTGAAGTAGATGTGATCGATTCGAATTACTTTCGGTACGTCAAAAAGGTCCGAGTTTCCGGTCATTTGCGCTCTAAGCCACTGCCAAAAATTTGGGAGCTATGGAAGCATGCACTACCTAAGTCGCCGCAAAAGCGCTCCAGAGTGTTTAGCTGACGGACGCTGGTTGTTTAAGTGCGGCATGAAACAGAGCGCAGCGCGGAGAACTCGCCTACCAACTCCTGAAGCGGCTGATGCGAGCGATAAAAATTCGGTTGCAATAGGATACCGCTGAACGCGAAACTGAGCCCTCTGCACGCTCCAGCCCAAACGACTACGACTGCTCGTATGCTTTCAGTTCCCACTAGTGTTCTCAGTATTTATTCTCTCGTATGTTGCTTTTTACTGAGAGCTCAACGGCTCAAAACCATTCTCAACGTATGGATGGGGGGGGGGGGGGGAGGATAGCACAGTTGCTGAAGGACGACCATCTCAAAGCGAGGCGTTCGGGAAAAATTGCGCTAAGAAAACCCTCTAATGATCAAATCGAATTAAAGGCAGTTGGCACGATAATTGCGAAGACGAGCAGTATTACTGGCAGGACGGGATTCCGCGACCCTGAGCAGACGCTGCGTAGCGCCTTTCCTAAGGAAGGTACCCCTAGAAGGTCCCATCAAGCTACAACATAGCGATAACATAGATACAACATACAACATACGCTTTTTCCGGGGAAGGTACCCCTGGACGACTCGTATTGCTTCATTTGTTGAGTAAAATATGAAGCGAAGGGACTGGTATGAAGCGACTGCGGTGCTGCATGGATATATACGATTAAATTTTCGATGGGCATCCTTGGTCAAAGAATGACGGTAGGAAGCTCACCCTGTTATCCTTGAGATTTGATGAACACTTTGGAGCTTGGTGAACAAGACCAGAACTCGAGTTCCGGTGCGACGTATGCCTCGCCGGAGGGTAGCAGTTTTGAGTTTAATATAAAACGAAATACGTTAAAGGCAATTGGCATGATTATTTGGTACTCGGCCTAGAATGCTTGTAGGGCGCGTAGTGGGTAAATGGCGAAAAAC